GCACATGCTCCGGGGCTGCGTCATGCTCGATGACCCAGCAGTGCTACGCAGCACAAGCCCCATTTCGGGATTCTTTTTTACCCCTTTGACGTCTTCAATAGCCCCTCTGTGAGTCTATGCTTTCTCAAGTGCGCGCACTTTTCCCCCCATGCTATGCCCCTGTACAATACCCAACACCACCGCAAGCTTTGATCCGATGCGGTGACGACGAGAAAGAGGAAACGCGTAAAAAAGAAAAAGAAAAACAAGAGACATCGACGTGATTGTGATTGCGCCTCTAATGAACCGAGAGCGTGCGAGCTTGAGGAGAAGTGGTGATGCATTGTACTGAACTGCAATTGGATACGATGTGAGATGGTATGTATGATGCGGTGTGATGCGGACGTAGTCGAGCATAAAGCTAATTGAGCGTGACAAAGATCCATTGGCCGGTTCGTCTTGCGTGCGTCCCAGGTGCGCTAAGAAAAGCGCCAAGAGGGGTTCCGGGTCGCGCGAGTGCGATTCGGGCTCTGTGGGGGGAAGGGGGCGTTCGGTGTTGAGTTCCGAAAGCAGGCACGGTAGTAGCAAGTATGCCGACACAACATTAGGCCATGCGATCGTCGATGCTTGCTGCAGAAAGCCGGCACGTTCTCAGCGCCAATTCCTCAGAGCTTCGAGATTGTGAATGGGAAGACGTCACGAAAAGACCCGTGGCCGCTCCATCGGGCATGTCAAGCGAAAGAGTCGGCGAGTAAGAAGAAAGAAGAAAATTGAACGCGCTTCCTACATCCGCCGTTGTGTCAACAGCTGGACGGACAACTTCCTCGGAGCCCGCAACGCCTGCGCGCCATCCTTGCGTTGCATTTTCAGCCCCCCCGCCTGCTCAAAACACGCATTCCCCTTCGCTCTCAAGCAGGAAAAGAGGGCGGCGGTTGAAAACCAACGACGGATCTTCTTGCTTGATATCCCGGACTACGCGGAGGAGTAGGCGCTGCCGTGTTGCTCTGCGCACCCGCACCCATATTCGCACTCGCGCTCGCGCTCGCGCTCGCAGCGGCCGAAGCGACGAGCTTATCGTGCAGAGCTGATTCGTCCAGAGTGTGCGTCTGTCCATTTTGTTGAAGCGTTGATGCAGATCTCCATCTTGGATAAGGATTGGGCGAAGAATCATCGATGGCAGCGAAGTGTCCATATGACCCGTCTCGACCTTCTGCGCTTGAACACGTCATGTCTTGCTGCGCTGATGCCGATGGACGGCGCATATGTCCCCCTCGACTCTCTACCGGCGTCTGCTGAGGCGTGTTGGCAGGCGCATGAGCAGGTCCAGGACTAGCAATAGACATTGCACTCTCGCTCGTCATATTCGATCCCGGACTAAAACCATGATCGTGATGTGTGGAAGTGGATGTAGAAGTGGCCACGCTGGAAGCTAGCGATGTTGCTGGAAAGGGTGAAAAGGCAGCCAAGGAATGGGGCGAATAGTTGGTTGTGGATGCGGATGCTGGAGATGCGCCCATCTTTGTCATGCTGTGCCGCCCCGTACCGGTGCCGGACGTGGATGGATGTCCTCCTGCTGCTGCCCTACTGTATGACCCATTGGAGCTGGTATGACCAAAGCCAAAGGCACGATGAGCAGTGCTCGAGCTGGGAATGCGCATACCTGGTGAAGAAGCAGATGACATGCCCGCTGTGCCATGCTCGTATGCAGGGTAGCTACCGCCGACTCGGCCGGGCGCGCCGTATCCATACATGTACGATCCTGAAGAGTGTGCAGCGCCAGCTGCACTTCCATTAGATGATGGATGATTATGTTGATAATGAGAGTGCGGCTGTTGATGCTCGTGAGCACCTCCGTTTGGCGTGTCCACACCTTCCATGCCCATCACATCATCACCATCATCCAACGCAGCCGTAAGAGTGTGAGAGTGCTGCGCATTCCCACCCGCGCTCCTGCCAATCGCGCTACTGCTCTCCGCGTAGTCCATATCCATACTACCTCCGCTACCATCCCCGGCATGTCCACCTCTACCGCTACCGCCAGGACCAAGAGCGTGCTCGCCTAATGTCCGCCGCAGCTCTTCCCTCATGGCCACCAGATCCGAACCGCGATCTCCGGCTGAAAAGCCATTCTGCATTGAGCCGATCAGATCGTCCAAGTTGAGCGCCATGATGAATGGAGGGGGTGGGGAGACAAGGGTGTGGGCGGCAATGTGTCGAGACCAAGACGTGTCAGCTGATGTGCTGAAGGGGGGAAGAATTGAGTCTGGATTGGCGTGAGTGGCCTGCACGCCTCTGTGTGGGGTCTGGACAAGAATTTGCCGGGTGTGCGCTGAATGCAGAAGGCAAAGGACGTCGAATGTAGACGGTGACGAGAGACCTACAAGGTGTGGTTGTGCAGAGTGATGGGATGGAAGAGCGGACGGTGTTGTGGGTGTGCGTGCGTGCGTGCGCGCGTGTGTGTGGCGAAGAGGGAGTGGAAAGAAAGCCGATGAGAGGGTGCAGGATTGTGTGTGAAAGCTGCTTGCTCGATCGAAATCCGATGGCATTACAGTCAGAGTCCGAGTCACGAGTCGTGAGTCTGGAGTCGGTATGCTCGCTCGCCCGCTCCGATCGCCCGCTCGCCCCGTCGGCCGCGGCTGCTCGTTGTGGCTGCCTTTCGGCTTTGTGGGGTTGTGCAGTCAGTCAAGTGGCAGGGCCAAGGTAGCGCGCAGCACTCGTGACTGCATGGAAAGGCACATAGCCGGTGTACCGGTATTATATACGCGACACGCGCATGCACGCGCAAACACATCACAAACGCACAAACGCACACACACGCGTACACACGCACACACGCACACACGCACACACGCACACATACACAACGAGATGATCTCCCGCTCTCCGGCTACATTGTATCAGCTAGGCGTTGCGTGGTGCGTAATGTGCTAAAGTAGGTACAGTACAGCATATACATGTTGCAACTTGGCCTCGTAGGAGGGTGCAGCAATAACAAGCAGGAGCCGGAAATCGAGCTCAGGTACGGCGGCATTCATGCTGTAGCTGCTGCATGCTTCTTCTGATGTGTATTAGATCGAGTCGAGACTCTTTTTTAATTAGGGACCAAACGGCTTGCGCATATGCGGTGGTGATGCTGCTGCTGCGCCCTTATGGAGATGCATGCATGCATGCATGCATGCATGGCATGCCTCTACACCTCGTAGCCTCCGCGGGTCCGGGACAACCTGAGCTTGAGCTGAATTCAGCGCGGCCGGGCGTCTGCATGATGCTGATGCTGCTGCTGATGCTGATGCTGATGCTGATGCTGATCATGACGCTGATGGTCGAGCATGGAAGCGCAGCAGTGAACGAAGACGTCGATCCCGATCCAGCACCGCACTGATCACACTGTTCCGCACCTACAACAGTCACGAGTTGTGGGTGTGCAGCACGTCGTAGCAAAAGTACACGTAGCTAGCTAGCTAGCTGCTCGGGGAGTTGTCAGGCAAGGAGATGATGAGCGAGAATGACTCACACACACTCGTGACTCTACATCAGACTCACGACTCTTGACTGCGACGATCATGATCTCGATAAGACGCGTAGTGGCGAACCAGCATATCATACTCTTGACTCACGACTCACACTGTATGATCTGATGGAGCAGAGATCACACGACTCGCATTCGCCAAGCATCGCATGGCTTTGAGAGACCCGTGCCGTGCCGTTTGTGTACCAGTACTCAGTGTACACTGACAAGCAGTAGTAGTATAGGCACGCATCACGGCGAGTCGACCATCACGCATGCAGCAGCGTGAATCGCCGGGCGGGGTCCGGAGGGCGGGCGGGCCGATTTGGAGTTACGATATGCGATGACGAAGCTCGCGCGACTCGCGACTCTTCTTCTTCTTTTCGAGCGTGACTGGTCATGTGCAAGCGCGCGCGCCCCCCTGTGTCTTAATTGCTGATTTGTTGCACGCGACTTAATCGAGCCAAACAATCACGAATCGCAACGCTGATGCCAACCCGTTGTAGCAGCGCCCGAGCTGATGCTGGCTGATTGACGATTGAAAAGCTGCTGGTGCGCATGCTGACTGATGCGTATTGCTACAACTCTTCAACCCGCGCGCGTACTCACACTCGTGACTCTGCTTGAGATTCGTGCATGGTGGCGATTGACATGCAAATGCCGTGAGCGCACCTCGTGGAGCTGGAGCGCAGCCATGGATGGATGGACTCGATGGCAATCAAGTGTGTCGTCATGAATGCACAGCCATGCATTGCACCAAAGGGTGTCGCCGACGAGCTATATGGTCGGGCAAGTGCACATCACATCTCACCAACATCCCACACGCGTACAGTACAGTCTTGAAACCTCACTAACGGCTCACTCAACCTGTCCGCCAATGCAGGCAAAAAGTCGAGCCTGGATGAAGCGTGTTTCACCTTTGGCAAGTCTCTCGTCACACCGAACGACGATGACACATATACAGACAAGCACAGTTCCGCTCGGTGTAGCATCGATCAGATTTCTGCAAGTAGTAAAAGGGGCCGTGCCGGGGGCGGATCATGTCGGCAGCGACCGAGCGTGCTGCACCGCTTTCCTGAATTGCGATCGAATCTGCCGTACAGTCACAGTACAGTGCATTGCGCCACCGTTAGCGAACGCACGATACGTGAGGGACGCGCGCGGGACGAGCAATGCGGTGTGTCGCAGGGTGGGTTGGATGCTGCGAGGTGTGAGGTACGGTGGGTGACATTTGCATGTTCTTCTACATTCTCACCAGAACAGGTCTCGGTATCGCAGACCCGGCTCCATCCGCTTTCGTCGCCTACTCTGATTCTTGCCGGGCATGCGCATGCGCATCTCTCTCTCTCTCTCTCTCTCTTACCCATCCGATATGCCGTGTCTTGGCTCCGGATGCAGGATCACCTGTTGGCGTCGTCCCGACCAGCGAACTCGAGCTTACCTGAGCTCCTTTGCAAGGTAAAGATCTGCGATGTATTCCGGACGAGATCATGCTGCATCGAACCAGTCCATCCAATACCCTATCTGCCGTATCGGAAGGTGCGTGCGGATGAAAAGCTCCGAATATACCTTGCAGCGGAGTGAGCTCGAGCAATTGCACCAGCGATCTCTTGTGAGGTGCAAAGGCGAGCGTAGTAGGTGGAGGAGGGTCGAAGGTGGAGGAGGCATGGCCTGCTTCGTACGGTGCAAGAGTTGTAGTGTTTCAGCATTGCAGTCTTGCAGTCTTGCAGTCTTGCAGTCTTGCGGATCGTGTGATGGAGATGCTACCACCCTTACCAGGCCTTCACTCACCCAGCACCGAGCCAAGGTTGGGGAGCACGATCAGGCTCTGAGCTGCTGAGCGTTCGTGCAAGCCGGCGTTTCCGATCCAGAGCACCTCCTGCCGGCGCATGAGTGCAGGTAACGCTGAGCATGCTTCGATGGTAGTCAGCATGATCCATCCAAGCAGACCGATGGTCCTTGAAGAGCGCATGTGAGACGCGCTCCCTTCCGGGGATGGGCCGTTTGCGAATGATGAGGAGAAGGGGTGCAAAGGCGAACCAGCGCCGAAGATGGTCAGAAAATCGAAAAAAGTGGACAAGTCAAGGTCCGAAGGGTGAGTGATGTTGAGCGCGTGATGAAGACGAGGAGGGGAAAGAGAGAAAAGATGGGGAGGAGAACAAAAAAAAGACTCTTTCGAGCCATGTTGCTCGCACTCGCACGTCATCCATCGTCCCACGATCGATGCGCATGCACCGCCAAGCAAGCAAGCAAGCAAGCACCAGACATGCCCTTGTCTGCGTCTAAACAGCATGGAAAGCAGCGCTCGAGTCACGAGTGGCGCGGTGGCAATCGTGGATGGCGAAGGGACTGGCAAAGCTCTGCGCGGCGCGAGAGAGAGGTGGAGATGGGCGCGCTGCTGGACCGCTTTATCCTTTTTGGGCGCCCACGTACAATTAAGTACGTTGCAATTAATGTACGCCAACATCTGAATGAGATCACGAGAAGCAAGACGACGTATATAGCGACCGACGCCGCAATCGAGCGTCGCGACGTTCTCGATTGAGACGAAGCCGAGTTGCAGTGATTAGAGCGGGCGATAAGATAGGCTTTTGAAGCGCATACATGCATACATTCATTCACATTCACCAGCATCCGATCCGCCCGCCATCAGCAATCGCGTCTTCTTGCCAATAACGTATGACGCATCATCAGGGAGACAGACGATCGCGAGCTGATCGAGCGACGCCTATGCCATGCCGCGTATACGCTGGCCAGTCGGCCGCCGTCGCGCCACTTGATTGGCACTCGTGACTCTTATCTTCAATCTGACTGCGACTGATGCTATCGATCGCCAATCGAGCTTGTCGCGACGTCGAAGGAGTGTGAGTGAGAGTGAGAGTGACAGCTTGAATTGCGTGCAAGGCTGACGAGTGGAGCGGCATGCCGACCAGATCATTCGTGACGGACGGCAGGCATCACATAAACATCCTGATTTCACTCACACTGACTGATTTGTAGGATGGTATGCGCATTCGAATCGCTGCCAAGCAAAGATGCTGCTGCGCTGCGCTTCGGCAACTCGTGTGAGCCGGGGTTGCCGATGCGGGGATGATGCCGCCGCTTCTTTCGCGCCTGCTACACACGCGGGGGTGGAATGAGAAGCATCATCGGCAGGCAGGCAGGCAGGCAGGCAGGCAGGCAG